AAACACTACCCTTCCCATAGTAGACAACCATACCAAGTCATCTCACGGCAGCACCACCGAACATCCATCCATACGGACATGGCTACCAGTGGCGTAGCTACTTGAGAACCAGAGTGGGCCTAGGCCCACACTCAAAAATACAAAGTGAACATAACATCTCAAAGATCCTAGTAACTTGAGTAAAATAAGCTTATCTAAAAAACATGGTAAGAAAAGTAGATTTAGGAAGAAGAGAGAAAAAAAAAATATCTATATAATAAACATAAGTTGAAAATATATTTCTTTTATCAATAATTCTTGAAAATTAATGGAATATAACTCTTATTTTATACTTCACTTCATTTATTGATTGGTAATTTAATTGCTAATTTTAATTTTCCTAATATTATATGCTATACAATTAATTTGTTTGTAATTAATATCTGATTATTAGTCCCTTTGATTGTTTTTCTTTCTATTAGGTCAACAAATATGGTTTGAATATTTTATTTATTGTTGTTTTTAAATCTAAAAGAAATTTGTAATAGATATTTATTAATGTATAGACGCTAAAATAGTAAGAGATGTTTAATTTGAATGTATAACTATTTTTTCTTTAAACTTTCATAGAGCGGATGAATAAAACCTTTAAAATGGCCATATCAAGAAAATGTACAATTATTATTGTCTTGAAAATTTTATGTTTTTGCTTTTTATTTTTTACTTAAAATATTATTTTTATTTCTTTTTGTCTTTGATTTTTACTTATAAAAGATAATGTTACGCTACTTTAAAAATTTTTTAGGCCCCTACTCATATAGATGGCTAGATTCGCCCCTGATGGCTACGGCTTCGGAGTTCAAACCGAAAAATGCCAACTAAACGCCTAACTGGTCCAAACCACCAACAAACCCAACCCGCACCCAGATGGATACCTGAGACCCAGAGACTCACACCACCAACCGCCCACAACCGACCCGTAAGATCAAGCCTAGATCCCAAATCCCAGTCCTCAGCCCGTGCTCGCCGGCGATCTCCCCCGTCCAACATCAGAAACATAAGGGACACGGTGACTAGAAGCGGAGCCCTTCGTCCCAGATCCCGCAGACAGACGAAACCCGAGCCTAGAGAACCACACCACCAACACCCACGGCAATAGAGCAATATCAGGCCAAGCCCGCGAGACCTCAACCTCAGCCCAAACTCGTCAGTGGTACCCCCACCCAACAACAGCGATGGAAGACATGACTTTGGACACGAAGCTCTCCACCCCTGCTCCCTCAGAGAGAGAGAGAAAGAGACAAGGCCGCGACCCATCCCGGTGAAACGTTAGAGGCTTGCCCTAACTGCGAAAACACCGGCGAAGAATGGCGGCCCTCCTTGCCGTCCTAGAAAGCAATTCACCGGCGAAACCTTAGGCCGGAGTTGGACCTTGTCATTGCCGGCTGAAACCCCTCATACAAAATGGCGAATCACCGAGCATCGGGCTATGAGGCCCAAGGACGCCGTGCCGAGAAGCTCTGTGTAATTCTGCTAGGGAAGGTGCCTAAATTGACAAGAGAGGGGCGACGACGAGGGTTTGAAGTTTGGGAATTTTTCTGTTTCGGCAGACAAAGAGAGAGAATATGACAATTATTGTTGACAATTTGGATTTTTTGACAATCGTGCTTTTGGATTGTTCAGCTAATGGAATGGCAGTTGTTATGGTTTAGATCAATTTATGTTGTGGATTTGATTTGTTTAGTTGATGGAATGGCCGTTGTGATGGCTGTGATCAGTTTATGTTGTGCTTTTGAATTTGATAAGATAATAAAGTGACAGCTATGATGGTTGTGGCCAGTTTATGTTGTGCTTTTGAATTTGATAAAATAATAGAGTGGTTGTATGTGAAATGCAGTGATTTTGAATCTGATAAGTTAATGGAGTGCTTTTGAATCTAATAAGTTAATGGAGTGGTTGTGATCAATTTATGTTGTGATTTTTTAATTTGACTATGAAGATGCACGTGCGTTGCACGTCATTATTAATATATTTTATGGTTTAAAAGTTATTTTCATTGAATTTACTGTTGACATCCGAGTTCGCCCCAAAGAGGAGAGGGACAATAGGTACCTCCCGAAAGCCGAACCGACTCACTCCCAGAGCCGAACCGAATACCCCGTCAAGTGCAAGTGCTGAGCTGAATTCCAGATCTAGTTGGCCCAGACATCTCCGCGGGCCCGTCCGCGAGCTCGGCGTTTGTGCTGTTCAGACACCGGTGCCGATCTGGGGGATGATGGGCTGGAGTATGACTTCCAAGAGTCAGGAGAACGAAACGGGGTCAGGAGCCGGTCTGATATTCCAGGGCGGTTGCCCCATAGACAGATTTCGAGCCCGATAATAATATAATATCGCCACTTGGAGAGCAATCATTGGTGATTGGATGGGGCGCCGTAGCCTACGGGCCTACATCCACTAGCCAAAACATAAAGCCTGCCAGCATTAAATAACCCCCATGTGTGCATTAAATGCCTGCCAGGAAATGATGAGGAAAAGCCTCAAATCGCATTAAATTCTGTCAGGGAAGCGCCGGACTGCCCTGCCAGAGTACTGTACGACAAGACTGGTGAACAGTACCTGAACAGTGCCACATTTAAGGTCACTATAAATAGCAACCCATCTCATTTATTTCTGGGTTGTTGAATCCCAACTGTCTTGACTCTCTCTACATTTTCTCTCTCTAAACTTGTAAGAAACCTCTGTAAGGATTTGTAAGGATATCGCAAGTGCCGACCTCGTACGAGAGGCCGACCTCATGATCGATTAATGAAATCACAATGAAACCGTACCTTTTCCCCTTTTCCCTATTTCATATTTCTTATCTTGTTTCTTTAACCGTTGACCAGAAACGTCCATCAACATTTTGGCGCTAGAAGGGGGGCCCCATAAGTTATTTGGTGTCAATTTCTCGATCTTGTGGAACTTCACATCGCATTCACCTTTTTCTTACTTTTCACTTCCAAAAGCTACTCAAAATGCCTTCATCCGGTTGCAATGAGT